ATGTCTCCCAGTAGGGCATCCCATGCCTTGTTCGCCTCTTGGGGAGCCGGGGCAACACTCGGAACAGTCAGTCGCTCCGGGTGGGCCATCGCTTCCTGGAGCTCCTGGAAGGCACTTGCCTGGGCAGCTTGTCCATCGCTGATGGCCTGGTCGATGCGCTCCGTGTCCTTGACATAGAGCTCGTGGGCACGGACGAACTTCTTCTTCATGTCCGCCTGGAAAGCTTTCCAGTTCTCTTCGATCTGCTCCTTCTCCTCGCACAGTTTGCGGGCCTTGACCTCCGCCTTCCTCGCCGTAGTCACCATTCGCTGAATGGCCTGAACCAGACCCGCTGCCTCGGATTTCTCCTTGGGCTTCTCCTGTGGAGGCATTCTCGGTTGACCACTGCCGGTCGATCGGGTGTAGGAGGGGAAACCCTGGTCGTCCCAGCCATACTCCTGCTCCCATTTGCCAGAAGAGGAAGGCTGCTGCCATTCGCCACCACGGCGGCTTTTGAAGCCTCCGTTCCAGTACGTCCATGACTTCTTTCCCATCTGCCGATGGACCTTGTACTTCGGCTTGGAGTGGTGTTGCTCCAGCAGGGCGATGTCTCTTTGCCAGGGCTTCTTGCCTTGTGCCCGGAGTACGCGAATCCGGCTCCGCGCGGCCGATCGTTTCCTCCGCAGGTGACGATGCCACGCAGGTGAGGCCGGAATTGCTTCGTGCAGCGATGCACTGGGGAATGGGCTATACTGACGGCGGGCAGCCGCAAGCTCGATCCCAAACCCTGCATGACATATGTACATATACATATGAGGGACACTTAATCATTCAATAGAGTTAATAGGGTTCAATCTTATGATGCAACAGGAAGGTCTGAAGTAGAGCAGCGATATGAGAGACCTCCTCTCCGAAAGTTAAAGCAAGCTTCTGAGCCTTCGCTTGAGGTTACGGGTTTTCGACGAGCTTTAGTGCTTGGGGGGCTCTAGGCATTTCAATTAGACCCCTCCATGCCCAATGCTCAAACCGAAAGAACTAAACATTGGAAACATATGACTTTCCCAATATGCTCAAGCCAGAAGCGTGGCTTCCATGCTCAACCCTAAACCCTAAACCCGAAACCCCAAAGCCTAAACCCCTCCATGCTCAGCCCTAAACCCTAAACCCCAAACCCTAAACCCCTCCATGCTCAACCCTAAACCCTAAACCCGAAACCCCAAAGCCTAAACCCCTCCATGCTCAACCCTAAACCCTAAACCCGAAACCACAAAGCCTAAACTCCTCCATGCTCAACCCTAAACCCTAAACCCTAAACCCCAAACCCTAAACCCCTCCATGCTCAACCCTAAACCCAAAACCCGAAACCCCAAACCCTAAACCCTAAACCCCTCCATGCTCAACCCTAAACCCCAAACCCCTCCATGCTCAAGACGACAGAATGCGACATCCCCAAGCCACCGGTTTCGGCAAAGGCCAGGCGGGTCCACTTGGCCTGAGCGGATTCCCGGGGTGCTGCAATAGGGCTTTGGGTTTAGGGTCTTTTGGCTTTAAGGATTTAAGGCTTTTAGGCTCGAAGGGTTCAGGGCTTTTGGGGTTTAAGGGTTTAGGCTTTAGGGCTTTTAGGGTTTAAGGGTTTATGCTTTAGATTAGGGTTTTTTTGGTTTAAGGGGCTTAGGGATTCTAGGGTTTAAGGGCTTAGGCTTTAGGGCCTTTAGAGTTTTTTGGGTTTAGGGGGGTGTTGGGGTTTAGAGGATTAGGTTTTAGGGTTTCGGGTGTAGGCTGCTGCAACCACGCAGAGGCTCCAGGCATCAGGCTGCGGCACGGGGGCCGAAACAGACGAGAGAGAAAGACGACTGCTTGCTCTACTACTACTACTACTACTACCACTACTACTACCACTACTACTACTACTACTACTACTACTACTACTACTGCTACTACTACTGCTACTACTACTACTCATGTTTAGGGGTCTTGGGGTTTCGGGTTTAAGGTTTAGGGTTTCAAGAGGTTGGGGCTTTCGGGTTTAGGATCTAGGGTCTAGGGGTCTTTCATAAGCTAGCTCACCACTGTGACATGTGGGTAGCTATACGGCACCCTTACGGAGAATTCCAAAAAGGACCATGGTTAGAGAACTACTATACCCCTAAACCTGAAACCCTGAACCCCTAAACCCCAAACCCCTATGTAAACCCTAAACCCTAAACCCTTAAACCCTAAACCCTTAAACCCTAAAACCCTAAAACCCTAAACCCCTAAACTAAACCCATGTGCATTGAGCTTCTGGCGCTCTTGTCCATCGACGCCGCAATGTGATCTTGGAAAGCAGGCTATGGGGCCCTAATGTAGGAGCCTTAATAATTAGCATAGGGTTTGGGGCCCCTTTATTTTCATAAGTATAATAAGGAACCCTAAGAAATAATGAGTGATAAGTATTTAGGCTTCTATATTGGCATCCTTGCGGAGTTTTGTATCCCGACGACGAGGAGGGACGACCGAAACGACTACGAAAACGATGAGTATGAGTGCCATGAGCAAGCCTTGTGTTGTGTCAGAAACTCCCACATTAGCCTTGAAATCTCGGACCTGGCCCTAAAACCTGAAGCCAAGGCCAGAAGTTAGGAGAGCCTGGGATGCAGCCGGAACTGAATATAGGGGCCCTGATGACTTACAAACACGTTTGGGGGTATAGTATACCATAGTTAAAATGAGGAACCCCCCAAAATAGTATAGGTACTTATTGCAGCCCCTACTGAATAATCCCTATGATACCCCTTATAGCCATCCTTATAGGCCCCTTCAAAAGGAACCCTATTTTTAAGTATTAAGGCCCCTACTTAAAGGATCATGGGACTTAGTAACTAGGGTTATAAATAGGGTAACTATACTTAAAACCCCACTTGGGGTACTTATAGCCTTACTTACTAAGTCCCCTGACCCTCCAAGTAGACCCTAAACCCTAAACCCTAGAGGTCCCTTTAAGGAGCCCTATATACATCCCTTTAAGGAGCCCTTTAAGAACCCTTACTAAGTCCCCTGACCCTCCAAGCCGGGGAACCCTGGGCTTCGGGGCTGGCCTCGAGGGCCAAAGGCTCAGAGCTAGGCTTGGGGCTTAGGTATAAGTTTTGGGGTTTAGGTATAGGCTTTAAGGATTTAGGGTATAGGTAGAGGGTTTAGGTATAAGTTTTGAGGTATAGGTATAGGGTTTAGGTATAAGTTGTAAATTTTAGGGTATAGGTAGAGGGTTTGGGTATAAGTTTTAGGGTATATGTATAGGTTTAGGTAGAAGTTTTAGGGTATAGGTATAAGGTTTAGGTTTAGGTGTTAGGGTATAATGTATAGGGTTTAGGACCCCCAAGCCGATGGGCCCAACCAAGGAAACCCAACACCCAAACCAGCCAGGTTCCCTCAAGTCTAAGGCTCCGGTCCCTTGGACGCAAGAAAGCCGCAATGTAAACGTGCCTTTCTTGAACTTGGAGTGTGCTGTACGGTTTAGTCGCCACAGTCGTCGCCGCAGTCGTAGCAGTACGGTGGATGATATGAAACCCTGCATTACCCATACTAAGGAATAAACCACACTTCTCATAGTCTAAGGGTCATTAAGGTAATGCAGGATTTATACCATCAACCCTTAAACCCTAAACCCTACACTCATATTTATACCATCCACCGTAGTAGTCGTAGTCGTAGTTGTTGTTGTGTTCAGCCTTAGGGCCTAGGTCCGTATGGCTGCTCCGGACTTTAGGGGTCCTCCCAGTATCAGAGTTTAGTTCGGCTTTAGGGTTTAGGCTTTAGGCTCTAGGGTCTAAGGTTTAAGGCTTAGGCTTTAGGGTTAGGCTTTAGGCTCTAGGGTTTAGGGTTTAAGGTTTAAGCTTTAGGGTTTAGGCTTTAGGCTCTAGGGTTTAGGGTTTAAGGTTTAGGCTCTAGGGTTTAGGGCTTAGGGGCTTAAGGGCTCTCGTCTTCATGTGAAACGTCTCATCCTGCGATCATAACAATCATCACCATCACTGCCGTCAGCACGGTCGCTGAGCTATTGTTACTACCAGTGAGCTCTCACTGTTGTTGCTAGTCACTGCTAGTCTTATCAATACTACCACCGCTGGGAAAAGCCATACTGCTAGGAGCAGTCTTGCGATCAAGATGCCTGAAAGCTCATGGGAGCCTCATAGAATCAAGAACTCTGAGCGCAGACCCTAGATTAAAAGGATCCTTCAGGTAAGGAACCCAGAAGAATGTGCCGAATTGTGAGAAAACGCTCAGACACCCATAAAACCACATCAACCCCTATCAAACCCTTGCACAAGCAAGCTTTTTTCTCTTCCTCGTGAGAGTCTCGACAGGAGGTCCTCTGTGGGCTTTGTCGAAGTTCGGGCTCTTAGTGGCTGTTGCTACCCGAGCCTGCAGTTTACATTGGATTAGGGTCAAGTTTTCGGGGCTCGAGTCTCGAGTTTCGGGTCTCGGGCTTAGGGTTTAGGGTGAGGGTTTAGGGCTTTGGGTTTAGGGTTTAGGGTTTAGGGTTTAGGGCTTGGGTTTAGGGTAGGGGCTTGGACATTGGGTGTGGTTTAGTGCCAAAGCCTCGGGCTTGTTTATCTTGGGCTGGATTTTCTGCCTCGGGATTCTCGGGTTCAGGGCTTTCCGGCTAGCCAGGGTACCAGGCCATCGGAGTGCCATAAGGATTTGCCCATCAAACCATCACATCAGAAGCTGAACCCTAAAGCACTTGCCTGTATGGTATACTATCATTTACTCTAAGACACACTAAAACCTTCGGCGAGATGTTCAGACCCGTATATTCAAGCCATTGCCAGGCTTCAAGAGAGCCACCGAGAGCCGTGGTAAAAACCAAGAAGCGCGAATCCCTCAGTCCACGAACAACTTACGACCTGCGGCGTCGTGGGATCTAGGGTTGAGGACTTAGGGTTTAGGGCGTGGGGATAAGAGTTTTTGGGTTTAGGGTTTAGGGGGTATTCCTGGTATTCCTGTGCAGACTCCAGAGCCCTATTCGGGCGCGTCTCAAAAATCTACGCAACTGAATTCTCTGTGTGAAACATGGTGTTGGGGCGGGCCAGCCAGAATTCGTTGGTACCCGTTCTAGGGCCCTCTTTGGCACGTCGCGAGACCGAACCGTGTATCCATGCCTGGACCTGCTGTGCTGGACGGTACAAGGCTTTGATACGCTGGAGCGTGATCTCGGATTCTGGCAAGCCTGCCAGGGCCTCCTCATAGGACGGGAGGCGTGGTCCGGCACATTGCAGTGGTGGCCGCGCCGCCACATGCTGCTGCCAAGCCCCTCTCTTTCGAGCCTTCTCCTGTGCTTTGTCGTAGGCCTCGGCCTCGTGAACCCCAATCAAGTCCATGGGCGGAAGAACCAGGGCACAACGGAGAAGGCAGTCAGCATGCTGCCGGAGGTGGTACTGTACACGGACGACAGAATGCAGCCATTTGTGGCAGGCCAAGCAGTAAGGCATCGGCGCGAAATGACGAGACGGGGACAGCGACCCATGGGCACGAGCTTCGTGCACCGCAACATGTTTGTGGAGCCGGAAAGAAGCCTCACACCAACGGCAGCGGAAAGGCAGGTCCTGCACCCTCTGTTCCAAAGGCGGCGGCACGACCGCAGGCTGTCGGCTCCATTGTAACAAGTCCTGTCCGAAGCCCTTGACCGCCTTACGAACCTGTTGTGGCCACCAGGCCCCGTCATCTCTGAAAGATTCCAACAGGCTGGTGATAGGGCATGGCATGACCAGCAGCACCGCTGCAGCATCGCTGTATGCCGCGACAGCACGTATATCAAGTGCCAACATGGAAAGCCAGGATGCCGCTGGCCGCTGTTGCCAGTGCACGAAAAGCATGTGCATGAGCTGGGCGGGGCCTGTGGCGAAGAGTCGCCGTAAAAACACCGCACGAGCCATGGCTAGTGCAAGGAGCGGGGATGGAGCCCCAGCATGGAGGAGGACACTGTAACTGTGCACGTGTTCATCCTTCTCCCGACGTCGGTACAAAGCCCGCCACAAACTCACATAATGCTTGCACCACGTCCTACGATGCACCGCACAAGTCAAGTCAGTAATGGAACTGGCGAAGACAAAGCGGGATAGAACGAGCGAGCGAAGCAGATGAATGCGGAGCGTGAGTGGCACGCTGGCCGAACTGAACAGCTGTTTCCGAAGGGGACGCAGCACAGAGCAGGCCTGTGCGTACCGAAATGCAATCTCTGTGGCAGAGGCACAGTTCGCTGTGACAATACCCCCTAGATGTCGGTAGGCATCTACAACGGGAAGGAAGTGCTCCCGGCCGGAGAGAGTATCCCGCAGGGCATAACCAGGTAGCCCCTTTGGATTGAGAGGAGAGGGCAGAGCAGCAGACCTGGCGCACATGCTAGGCAGGAGAACCGCAGACTTGTCGACTGCAAAGGTGAGCTCAACACCAACAGCCGTGGCGAGCTCCAAGTGCACCGTCGCGGCTGCAACAATGGCATCATGTAGGGCAGGCTCGGAAGAGGCCTTTTGCATGTTCGCATAATCGTCAGCCCATGCAACGTGGTTGATACGGCTGTCGGTGGGTGGTTCATACCACTCCGCCCGCTGGCCGCAGGCAGGAATATGCGTGCTCAAACCCTTTTGATCAAGCGCCTGGTCGATGGCATGAAGGTATCCCGCCAGACTGAAGCCGAATAGCAAATCAGCAAGTGGGTCACCGGGCCGGCTACCTCGGGAGGTAACCGTGAGCACGCTCGATTTATCGAGTCTGAACCACGTGCCGCGGAAAAGGTCTGCCACCAGAGCCGTGGCATGTTGTCCCACCCCCGCTGCCGGCAAAAGAGCGAGGTTTGACATGTGTCGCTGCAGTTCACAGACAGCAGCTGGCGGCAGGCCGAGGCGATGGATGAGTGCCAACAACGGCCTATCATCAGAAAGGGTGGGGACCAAGGTGTGTCTCAGCATGCGATAGTACGCAGCTTTGACATAATAAAAGGTAACTGCAGCCGTATTGGCCTTGTGGACAAAGAACCCCATGAAGGCACGGACCATCAATGCAACAGTGTCCACACCGACACCGCGAGAAGTGCCGGCCTGCAATGGGCCTTTAAAGGAGTCCAGGCTCGGCAGCAGCTTAGCGCGTAGAACCCGATGATACAACTTGCCCATTGTGCTGGCCATCAAGATGGAACGAAAATTTTCACACCGCAAAGCCGCAGCGGCCTTCTTGGCCAACGCAACAAGGCAACCTCCTCTCCACTCGACTGGCTCTTGAACTTGAAGACTGGATTTCAAGAAAAGTGGCAACATACACAAGGCGGAATTGGCAGGCGACAGGCGGTAGACCTCCGCAGTAAGCCCATCAGCCCCGGCCGCCTTGTTGTGATGCATAGCTGCAACCTGCATCTCAACATCCCCAAGTGTAGGCAGACACTGCCAGTCAAAGACTGGGCCGGCAGGCAGAACAGGAATATCCGGGTTGGCAAAGAAAGCACCATAATCCTCTGCATCAATGCAACGCCCAGCCTCCTGTTCAGCAAAATGCGCTCGCCACCGCTCAGCTCGGTCTGCCGGCGTTTGTGCAAAGCTGCCATCCGCACATAGGACGGCTGGAAGTGGGGTAAAACCCGATCGTCGGGCCGACCTCGCCTTGGGAAAGGCTCGCCGAACAGCGGCAAACAAGCGCCGGGGATCTCGAAGGTCTTGAAGCTGAACTTCCTCGACAAGGCCATGGAGATAGGCAACCCTATCAAGCTTGAGTGCCCGGCGCAGGTCCCCGGCAAGTCGATTCAGCCTAGCTGCGGCAGCCGCAATGCTGTGATCCATTTGCCGCAACCAATCATGCGCTGCGGGCCGGGCATGAGCTGTCAGAGGAACGGATCTGGTGCCAGCAACAAAGGCAGCGAATGCAATGATAAGACGACGACGCCGGAGCTCGACGTTCTCACACCGCAGGTAGCTCCGGATCTGTGCCCTTTCCCTTACAAGGGCAAGGGTTTCCTGGCTAAGATGGGCCTGGACCGCCCCAGAATCTGGACTAGGACTTAGACCTTCACAGGCCTGCACCATATCCGGTACTAGCTCAGCAAAATGGCCATCGGGGCCGGACTGCCACGAGATGCTAGGCGCATCAGACAGCCGTTGAATGAAGAGCTGAGTCTGCTCTCTGGTGGGTCGAGTAACCGGCCGGCACGGCCGTCGTGAAGCACGCTGGTAGAAGGCTGGTGCCGCTTTGCGCCCAAAACTGGCAGAAAGGCACACCGGCCTATGATCAACCCGTAGCTGCATGGACTCCAGCTGATCCCAGACCCAGGTATGCAGCTCAAAGGACTGCCATGCAATAGGGACGCCAACATAATCGATGCGTCTTCGAGTGCTTTCCCCGAAAGCCGCGGGTGCCATCCAAGTCCAAGATGACCCTGTATGGACCCCAGCAAAAGTGGAAGGGACACAGCACCCGACACGAAGCAGGAATTCATGAAAGACGGCACCTGCCTCACCTTCCGGCTCCGCATCGTGTCCAGAGACAGCTTCCGTCTCGACATCTCCAAGCCTGCTGTTAGCATCGACTAAGAGGATCACGTCCGATCCGTCAGGACGCTGTTCCAGCTCTGTTGCGCGCAAGCTCCAGAAGTCTCGAGCGGCGGTACAGTCTGTGCCCAGGACCCGTGGTCCATGGGCCACAAGAATGGTAAGCTTGCACCATGGAGCACAGATTTGCGCCTGTAGATGCCGTGGCGAGTATCCAGTGACCACGACATGGTCACGATGCAGAGTACGAGGCTTCCGGCCGGCCCGGCAAATAGGCACTCTGAGGTTCAACCACAAAGAGCATCCATAAGCTGCCATTTGCCTCCGCCGCAGCATTAAGCATCAGCAGGTCTTTGTCGGGGAGCACAGCATCTGTGGGGAGTCGTGTTTCCTGGAGGCCGAGCGCCCAGACACCACTATCGATCATCTGTTGTTTCAGGAGTGCACGCTTGCCAGCTATCTGCATACCAAAGGAACCTGCCCTAGTCTTACGGCCTTGAGCAGCACCCGGATCGAACATAGTGAGGACGTTGTAAGTGGCAACTGTAAAGGCAAAAGCTAGATCCGTGGCAGCAGTATGCACATCACGAACGCCCATGCCCGGCGCAGCGGGCACCGGCCGAGACTGGGTCTGTAACCGACGGGCCTCAACCTCCAAAGCGGAAAGCGCCGGCAACTGCGAGCTGGAAAGGTGCATCATCCATGACCACGACAGCAGTGGATGCCTGAGCAGACGAGCCGGCCATGAAGGAAGAAGTCGATCATATGGATCTTCTTTTTGTCGGCGTGCTCGTTTGGACAGCTGATCACAGAGCTCATTGCCGAGAACTCCCGCGTGTCCGGAAACATGCTCATGTCCAAGCTTGTACCACACAGTAGCTCTTTGGCGCAACGCAACCGCAAGCTTGACAAGCTGACTCGGCGCTGCCTCGCCTTGTCGTTGAGGTGGTCGTTGGTCCCCAAAGACACCTGCGCCAACTACAACAGCGTCGTATCGCATCAACATAGGCACTCGAAACCTGTGTCCACAGTCGAGGACCCATGCAAGCGCCCAAACCAAGGCAAGAGTCTCACCCTCAAGGGCATCTTCGTGTTGCTCCCCAACCCAGAAGGGCGTGCCGGCCGACACGGCAGCATGAGCTGCCCAGCCGACAAGGTACCGGCCAAAGTCAGTGACGGCCCAAACAGAGAAAGCCCAGGCACATGGAGCCACTAGCTGACCTTCAACAGCGCCATCGGCGGAGCCATCTGTATAAATCTCGAGGCTGAGCAAGGTAGCCTCAGCGGCACGAGCTTCCCAGTCCACAATGGCACCAAACTTCGCACGCCATTCCGCAGGGACTTGGGCATCAGCAAGCAGCTCACTTAGGTCAGAGTCAAGCCAATCCTGACCGGAGGCGAGTGCATCCTCAACAGGCCCAAAAGGAGTGGGTAGCAGGATCCCGAGCCCATGTACGAGCTGCTGGAAGGGAGTGGCCGGCACAAGTGTGTCGAGGGCAAGCACAGAAGACTGGATAGGAGTACTGTTTGAGTCTCCTTCCCTGACGCTCTCGGAAGCCGTGTGCTCGAACAGTGTCTCCAAGAGTGTCGCAGCCAAGTAGAAAGCATACCCGGCACTGTCCTTCGCGGCCTGCTCAAGAAGCGTCACAAGTCCATTACTGTCATGGCTGCACGCCGTGTGCTCCAAGGCAGAGGGACACATATGAGCAAGAGTTGTGTCCTCTACGCACGGCAAGGAGCGCGGCACAAGGCACGGAGTGGGGAGCCTCCGGACGGCAGCAGCATGGGCCTGGCTGAAGGCGATGCCAAAAGCACAGTCGTCAAGACCGCTGCAAGTCGGGGGTCTGGTCACGAAAGCAGTTGCACCTTGCAAACAGAAGCCCAGAAGCACCAGAGCAGAAAGGTGCAGGGAACGTCGGCGCGCTCCTGGTTCCCCGCCTGCAAGCGCGAGGACAACCGTGGCAACTGTGAGACACGTAATCCCTCCATCCTTGCCGGTGTCCGATCGCAGGAATAGGTGTGGAAGGAGGCAGTGACAAGTGACACAGAGGATCCCAAAGTACAGAAGGCCAACTATGCACTCTGCAAGCACAACCTGGAAAACAGAGGTAGAAGGAGACCTGCCCAGAGGGTGGGCGTCATGGTTCGAAAGGCTCTCCTGCCACATGTACATCACGTTGCTCTTGGATGCATGGTCCCCAAAGGATCTTTCCACTGTGGCTGGCGGTGGCAGCTGTGAGACACGGCTCTGTAGAAGAGGTCCGGTAGCCGATTGGCTGCCACGACTTGGCTCTGGTCGCGACGGGGGCCGATCGTCGCCGAGCCAACAATCCCAACTCCCTGGATCAGTATCGTAACCTCGAGACGGGTCAAGATCGTCATCAGGAGGGGTGTGTGTGGAAAGTGTATAGAGGTCAGAGCGACCGCGGAAGCAGTAGGCAGTCAGGATGCAGCCTGCTTCGGTATGGAGCCACTGTTGATCGACTGGTACTCCACTGAAAGCAACACGCCACGGTGCTGGGACGCCTTGCTGTAGAGCCCTCAAGGGGGGAAAGGTATCAAGCCATCCGTCAAGAGTGACAAGTGGAATCCAGCCTTTCAACACACGTCTTGCGTCTAGGAGGCAAACAATCGGCCGGCTGCTGAGGGAGAGGCTGCCAACTGCAATGGCAACAACGACAGTATGACATACTCTGCCCAATTGACTGACATTGACTGGGCGAGGGATGCCTGGCTGAAGAAGAAGTTCCGATGGTGGGCAGCCGAGGAGACGAGCAGCATCCTCACGGTAGTGCCAAGAACGGCTGGGATCTAGCTGAAACACCTCAGTACCGCTCGTGGTGACAAGACCGTAAGTGTTGCGCGTGTGGTCAACTGGAAAAGCCGGGCCGGCGGCCCAAGGCAAGTCAGAGGCCAACATGTCTGTCAACGACCATGCCTCCGGAGGTGGCATCGACCTGGCACAGATGCGGACAACAGACCCGGTGTCCAACATAACCTCTTCGTGCGGCCCCACTGGTCGCTGATCTCCAACGAAGATGTGGACCTGTGCCTGATCCCCTAGGTCTGCTGCATCCTGGAGGAAGGCCCCTGAAACAGTAGGGGGGGACGGCATGACGAAAAGGCGTTGCTGCCACGCATAAAGGTCGACACAGATGAACACCGCGCCTTCGGACCACTGAGGGGTGGCCAGCAAAAGGCCCCACCGAGCATCTGGCTGCACAGTGACTGGCGTAAGAACCGGGAAAGCACGTGCAAGATCCGGATTGCGACAAGCCTGGACTGCTGGAATCACCGTGTCTACAGACTGGGGAAGCTGCAGATGCAGAGCAACGGTCTCAACTGAAAAATCAGGCGCAAGCACTCCGAAGCAAAGCGGGGTGGGCACAGGATCGGGGGAGGTAGCCGCACCCGCTAATGCGCCAGCACTGGGGAACAGATGTTCATCAGGAGAAGCCGCGCCACCTGGTGAGGGCACGCTACCGGTGGTCCTAGGTGACCGACTGCGCAGTCTAGTCGAAGGGCCGCCTGTATCGCCATCTGGCCCCCCTGCTGGATCTGACTCTGGCCCAGAGGAGCCACCCTCGTCCCCAGGGGGCCCGGAATCCGTACGTTCATCCATGAGGATGTCTTCCACATATTCGACTGTAAGAACCTGCCCAGAAGTGACACGGAGCATTGGCCCTGCCGCTGTATTTTCAACAGGTGCCCCCCATATGGCAACACTCCGCCCTGCCGGACAGAGTCGGAGGAAGAAGCGTTCCAAATCTTGCAGGGGCACAACAGCACTGGCCAGCAGCCTCCACTCAAACCCTTGAAGGATGCGACGACAGTCAAGCACCACAATCAAGCGGTTCTCGGGTGTCCGGGCGGGAGGACAGGGGAGGCGTGATAGCCTTTCAGTGGCGACCAAAACCTGAGTCGAAATGTATCCCTGATCGAAGTGATTTTGGGTGCGGGGATTGGTAGGCTTGATGGTCAGGGCCGCGTCGTCGGCCCTCAGCTGCCGCACGAGATCGCTGCGAAAATGTGGTCTTCTGCCCTGTGCAACAGTAAAACGCTGTGACCCACCATCGGTGAGTATGTGGAAAAAGGTCCCTGGGGCTTGACCGAGACCTGGCACCGCTGCCCGAAGACTCCAGTGGCTGCTACTTTGAAGCATGGTTGCAAAGTCAAACATCGCAGGCGGCCGGTGTCCTGCTGGCACACAGACTATAACCATACCGGAAATTAAGTCTATAATCTGGCCTGCCCGGAGTGGCTGGAGTAATCCATGCACAAAGAGCTGGTGGCCATCAGTAGCCTGAAAACCTGCAGCGATGAGCAGGGATTCTCTGTTGAGGACTGGGTGGACAAACGCAGAGAAGAAAGTCGCGTTGACTTGTCGGCAGTCAAAAAGGACTACTACCTTGCCAGAGTTCCAGTCTGGACCCGCCAGCACAACTGCGAAATCCCCAAGTGGATGAGGCTGTGCAACAAAGAGCTGAGGAAAATGATGTGCGGTGTGTGCCGTCCGGTAGTCCCCTATGGCAGCAAGCGCATGTTCAACCCCACATGGCAGACACAGTGGGATCTCAAACAACTCAGCAACGTATTGCGGGACGAAGACAGCAACGAGGATAGGGATCCAGCCCGCCTCAGCTGGAGGAGCGTCCAAGGTGGGCGCAGGTCCCGCCAAGGCCTGCGGCTCGGTGTGGAAGGGCACCTGAGGCCTTGCTGCATGCCCTTGCAAAGCACCTGCTGGTGCTGGAAGCCCAGCTGCGGTGGGCGTAGAACTGATGCTCCCATCATCGTGCGCAGCATGGAAGCGAAGAGTAGAGACCTCCCCACCGGAGGGTGACAGGTCTGTTCGGGCAGACCCCTCCTGCTCTGTGGAATCCTGTGCTGCTACCCGCTCAAAGATGGTGTCAGGCCCTTGCTGGGACGGCAGAATATCACTCTCATCAGGAGGGCGAACACTCGCACCTAGGGCAGGTACCTCAAGCCGTACTTCGGCTTCGTCTTCCCGACCATCCCAGGCGGGTGGAGAATCGGCAGAACGGGATTCTCGAGACCGTATTTGACTGGAAGAGCTGGAGGAGCTGTCTGACTCTGAAGTATCTGCCCTTGGTAGCATGGCGATCTCACCACTGCGTGCCTTGCGTGCGTAGAAAAGAAGCGACTCATTACCGCGCAGCTGGATGTCCTCGCCTTGTTGCACCCCTCCTGCAACCTCAACCCGATAAGCCGGATGCACATGCAGGTCGAAGGCCGAGAGAAGACTTGGTCGATGCACGACGTGGCAATGGGTACATATGAACCTGGGCTTCAAACCCAAGGGACGCAGGTCACAGAACACAAAGACATCTCTCCTGGCCGCATGTAAGGCAGAGGCCCCTTGAGGGTTGGGCGCATCAATGACGAGGATGGCATGTGAAGCATGATCGCCATGCACCTCTAGATCATCGATCTGAAAGGTGCAGTATGTGAGCTCTGCAGCAGGGCGGGCAACAAACCGCGCGATGGCTTCAACAACCGTCTCTCCATAATGGTGATGTGGAGGGATGAAGTACCTTGTGTTGCCGTACAGGGCACAAACGCCCGCAGTGAACTCAACAGTGGGCATATGTTCGACGGCACCCCATTCTGCACCCGGCTCAAAGAGACTATCAACGCAAACCTGCAACACCCGGGTATCAAAACCATACAAGGCCGTAATCACATCCCCGTCTACTAGCTCAACGGGCATGTTATAGGGCCAAGTGTCGGCCCGCGCCCCAACGTGCAGGCAGAGCGGGTGGTCACTGTGATGCGTGAGCGGTGTGATGAAAGCAACCAATGCCCCATAGTCCAAGCGTGGTGGCAGAACCGTCGCAAAGTATCTGCCACCGGCATGTGTGAGGTCAAGGACTACGGCAACACCGCCATGGTTTTCGTGTGGACGGATCGCACTGGCAACACGGACAAAGGACGCGTATCCCTTAAACCTTTGGGGACAGAGGGGGACGACATAATCAAACAGACCCTCAGGAACCCCAGACACGGTGCGACGGACTTCTTTAGTCACCTGATGCAGACCCCAACCTGGCTCAACCGAGATCGTAGCTGTGACAGCATGGTAATACGGTGTATGCACATACACACCAAGGCTGGACGGGCCAGCACCGACTGAGCAAGCCTGGCTGACAGAAGACGATGCAGGGTCGGTAACTGATGCTCCTGCACGGTCGACCCATGGCAGGGTGACATGGTGCGTACCATCATGTGGGATCAACTCATCAGGTTGGATCTCATGTGGCCGTCGTCTGTGCGCACGGTCAGCAGCAGGGCATCCTTGTGTGTCTGGACGCGTCATGCCATGGCATTTCGTCCAGGGGACGACAGTGGCAGCCAAGGTCAAGGACGTTATGCTCCATGAGTGCGCCTCAACCGCTTCCGGTAAAGACAAGGCCAGCAGGAAGACATAGCAGCCTCGCGCAAGGGGACCGCGACAGACACATGTCGGTTGCCGGGTGTAATGTCGCGCTGCCTGACATGTGGCAGTTCTTTCCTTCCGCACAGCGGCAACACAACCCAACGGCACCAATGCAAAGGTCGGAACCCAACCAAGAAGCCGATTTGCCCGACGTCGACCTCCACACGCAAAAGAAGATGCAGACCAAACAAGAAGGCCGCTGAGGCAACCACTGACTGCAAAATGAAATCCAAGGGCAATGGCACCCGCATGAGTTTCCAAACTTGCAGTGTCAAGTCGCCCAAGCCACAAAGCACACAGCCAGCAGCATAACAACACCCCGACATTGAGGTCGCTGGCCTGGACCATAGCACCGAGCACAGATGGTCCGAGAAACTCGGACCTGGTCGAGCCTGTGGGGCCCACCCGGAACCTGAGGTACAGCAAGGTGGCGATGTGACGAAGAGCAGGAGCCAAGGCTCGACTCAACCTGCTGAATGCACTGCATAGCCAAAGCAGCGCAAGGCAAAACAGTCCGACCCAGAGCACAGAGCAAGCTTTGTCATTCAGATGGCTGGTTTGGACAGCCAAATCTGCGACGTCCTCGCAGACCACAGAACAGAGGCTGAAACTACTGTTGTGCCCAGACTTCGTAAACCCTTTGAGGTGTTGCGCCCAGAGTCCGAAGGCATCAGTGCCATCAGAACCCACTCGTGGGCGGCACCGTTGTGCACATTGCTGCATAAACCGGTTGTCAGCCGTCGACCCAGAGCCACCGATACGACTGTTCGGCGCTTGACAAACCTGTCTATCAGCATAACCAAAACCTGGGTCTAAACCCGAGGGACTAGGGGGAGAGGGCAGAGGACCCCTGTGCTGGCACGACAAACTGCCCGCTTCAAGAGCACAGCAGGCAGCCACATTCAGCCCATGGCGAAGGCACCAGTTCCTCCAAGTCAAGGAGGGAGCCGGAGCCGAGGAAGACAAAATCCATGCGACTGTCGTTGGAGGAAGGCAGAAATCCAGCATACAGGAAAGATGGGTCTGGCACGGGTACACAGGCTCGGTCAAAACTGTACAGCAACACCTATACTGTACAACCGACTTTGCTCTCAGATCCTCCGACTGCTCCAGCCGAAAAACGCATGAGCTTCGACCGTCGCCTTCCGCACCAAAGCAGCGAAGTGCCTCCGAAGGAGCGTCTTCGCGCCAAGGCACTTCTGGATGACAGGAAGCCCATGCCCTTCGCAGGGGAGCAGCCACTACCCACAATCTCCATCTCCCGTGCCTTCTTCGGACTCGTTCTCCTCTTCTTCCTCGTCGTCCGCAAGGATGTTGAGACGTCTGGCACCCGTTGGCACGGGATCCGTCGTCTCCTCTGCTCTGGACGGCCCTCGGTCTCGCGGACCGCCAAAAGGCTCCAGCGCACGTCGACGCTGAAGACGGTCTCCCAAGGTCGGGCTGGGTCCATAGCCTCCATTGTGTATGGCATCCGCTCCAGTGGTTGGTGCAGCAGGAGGTGCCACAGCTGGTGCTGGGACCATGTGACCAGGAGGCATATGAGCAGGTGGACCGGTCGTACCTGCCACATCCATGTCCCCTGAAACTGCAAGTCCAGGGCCCGGAACTGGCAGCATCGGCGGACCAAAGCCCGGAGGAATGGCACCCGACATGTAGGAAGCTGCCAGGTACGGATCCATCATCACTGGTACTGGCGATCTCATAGCAGGCGTCGGAAACATGCCAGGGGGAGGAGCATGTCCAGGAACAGGTGTCCTTGGTGCGACGTGCACCAGTCATTTCTCCTGGCCCTCGGCTGTCCATGGCGCGGCGAAGGACAGCCCCATAGTCCGACTGATCCTCTGTCTCCCAGCTGGCAAAGACCTGATCGACTGAAGGCAGCTCGGCCATCGCCACATCCTGTGGCTGGCCCTGTTCCTGCATGAAGACCTGTCGAAGAGCACCGCGGGCTTCTTCCTGTGCTGCCTCGGCCTCGACGATCTCTTTTGCCATGCGCTCCTGGTCTTTGGCAAAGCGGCCACGCTCCCGGGCAAAAGTCGCCTTGAGGGAGGCCTCGTACTGCTTCCACTTGGCCGCACCGGTCTGCTTCGCCTTCTTGAGCTTGTTCACTTTCTGCTCGGCCTTGCGTGTCTGATTGAGGGCCGTCTGCAGTGTAGGAACCAAACCTGCGTTGGCCGCGTCCGGTGGCCTCGCATCTGCTCCATCGGCACCCGCTGCCCCGGTGGCATCCTGAGTGAGATCGATGGTGTTGTAGCTGGGGAAGACCGGCCCTTGATTCGCTTGCCACGAAGGCCGCGATCGATGCGAGGGCGGCGAATAAGCACCTGGCCATACACGGTAGTAGGACTCGTCCTTTACCCATGGCTGCTGATTGTACTTTCCTCTTCCCATGCCCAGTAGTGATCGTCGTCTTGTCGGGCAAGTTCCGTGGTGCTGAGCTAACACCGAAAGGCGTCGCTCAGACACTTGACGGCCGTTGGCAATCGCCTTTCGCAGGCGAGATCGCACCTTGCGCCGGTGCCGATGCCAGGTGGGAGAAGGAGGTATGGCTACGAAGGCCAGACAAATCTACGCCGACGTTGCGGCTGGGGCTGCCGATGTTCTTCTCGCTGATGAGAAGCGATTCGAGCCCTAGGGTTTAGGGGGTAGGGTTTATTTAGAGTTTTAGGGTTTAGGGTTCAGGCCAGGCTTGGCGTTTTAGGGTTCAGGGTTTAGGGATTCAAGGCTTTGGGATCTTAAGTTTGGGGTTAAAGGCTTCAATCTTCAAAGCTTGGGGTTTGGAACTGCAGGCTGCGTGTTTGGAGCAAAGGCTTAGTGTTTAGGTTTGAGGTTTAGAGCGTATGAGCTTATACGGAGTAGGCCTTAAACCCTAAACCCTAGGTTTCTTGAACATAAGCTCTTCGGATCCGTTGCTCTACTGTCAGAACCGAGGCCAGAGGAGAGCTTTGCAGGGTTTAGGGTTTAGGCACAGCGCAAAAATGCTCAGAACAAATCATAACGGCGGAGACAGCAAAAGAAAAATAGGTGCTACTACCAGATTACTCATCCTAAACCTTTAAACTCTAAACCCCAACATCCTAAACCCTACTCATCCTAAACCTTTAAACTCTAAACCCCAACATCCTAAACCCTATCCCAAACCTTTAACTAACTCTAAACCTGAACATCCTGAGCCTAAACCCTAGAGTCCTTAACCCGATAACGGCAGTCCTTGCTCGATGCAAGCAAAAACCTGCGCTGTGTGCACAGTTGGAAACCTTTCGAGCCGAAAGCCCTATGCCGCGCTTGGAGTACCTAGGACGGTTCCTTTGAAGGGATCTATAAGGGGTACCTTTAAGGGGATCCGTTAAGGGATCTATAGGGGCTTTAGGGTTTAAGGTTTAGGGATATAAACCCTGCATTACCTTAAGGACCCTAAACTATGGGAATTACGGCATATTCCTTATTGTGGGTAACGCAGGATTTTGTCCATCAACAGTAGGACTAGGAGTTAGGATTAGGGGGGCCATTGGGGATATGGACCCCTCAATAAGGTACCCTTCTTACGAGAGCCAAAAGTAGGGTCAAGAACGGTCCCCTTTAAGGCGTCTCCCTAATACTACCTAGGAGTACCCTTATGGCAACCTTGTAGTATCCCTACCCCTTACAGTATACCTTTCGTGGTCAGAGTCCAATCGCTTTACGGCATCCCGCGCTGAGATTCTCGAGCCACAGGGCCTCTTACGAAGGATCACGGGACTTCGTAACTAGGGTTATACATGAAGTAACTAGACTCATAATTTCTTGTAGCCCTAATTAGGTAACTTATGACCTTACTTACTAAGTCCCCTGATCCTCCAAGTATCTAGCATACAGACGTTGCAGACTCTTGCGCCGGAGCGGGGTCCGTGCATCACATATCAACACTCAGATCTAACTTCTAACTATTCAGGGCCCAAGGTCAAGGAGGCGCCTTGAGCTCAGGGAATGTAGGGGCCTGAATTCGAGCAGGGTTTCGGATGAGAATACAATTTGATAAGAAACCTCAGGAGTAATCGATGTTGATAACTATTCATGCTTCTAGAATACTTCGGGACCCCAGACCCTAAACCCTAAACTTCTCTTTCCCATGGCTTAGTGCCCGGCCAATCAACCAAGTCCAGTCCCAGAGAGTACTGAGTCTCCTCGCAGGCGTCGGGTCTTTCAACAGGGCCTTATAATTGGCCCATTATACTATAATTAAACTACGGAGCCCTCAAAATAAGGTAATTGTTCTGGTCTCTATGTTTAAAGGTTTTTAGGGCTTCAGGGCTTCAGGGTCTTTATGGCATGTACGGCTGAGGGGTTAGGGTTCAGGGTGTGGGGGGAGGGGGGGTTGGCTGGCGATGATGCTGATGAGGGTGCCGGCAGCGGGAGGATTGTGATGATGGCGGTGAGGAGAGCGAGGAGCAGGAGGAAGAGGAGGAGGAGGAGGAGGAGGTGAATGACGATGGTTTTGATATGCATGATACATCAGTAGTAATATTTTCTCACCAGCATGGGCACTATCGCGACTGGTAAGACCTGCACCATAACCGCGACACTGTCTTGCTGTAACACGATGAAACTTATTTGAACAATTGGAATATGCTCGCTAGTTTTCTTTTCCAACTTGTGAGGCCTATTCTGGATACTTTGACTCTTGGACACTTGCTATTTCGACGGTCCTGGGTATTCTGTGATGTTCACAGCCCTCATCGTATTTGAGGTTGTGACACTGCTACTTGCTGCTGCTGTTGTCACAGCTGCCGTGGCTGTTGCTGCTGTTGATCCACTGAAAGCTTCTGCACTTCAAGAGGCCAACTCATATAGGGACCTTAATAATTACCTATACTATTTTGGGGGCTCCTTATCATAATGTTAGCCAAATGGGCCCCATTCAGGCTCCTATATTAGAGTCCGAGTCCCGACAACCGCGAGTCTGAATTTGAATGCCTCATGACGGCCCGCCTCGTTGTCCTGCAGGTACACCCGGATGCTCAGGAAGTCCTGCCAGGCACATGACATTCTTAAAGGATCATGGGACTTAGTAATTCGGGTTGTAAACAAGGTAACTATACTTATAAGTACTTATAACCCCAAGTAGGGGACGTATAACCTTACTTATTTGGTCCCCTGATCCTCCAAGTTGACATGGTTTCTGATTTCGTGAGGATTGATCGGAGCCTGGGTCGGGTATCTGGGATTCGCCGAAGCTGAGCCGCTTAGCGTGAAGGGTTTGGGGGTTTTTGTTTAGGGTCTACTTAAAGGATCAGGGGACTTAGTAACTAGGGTTATAAAAAAAGGTAACTATACCTATAATTACTTATAACTTATAACCCCATTCACGGGACTTATAACCTTACTTACTAAGTCCCCTGATCCTCCAAGCAGGGTTTGGGATTAAGGTTTAGGGCTCTGAAGGTGTCTCAACCCAGAACCGTCCGTGGGGCACGCCGTCTCGCATCGCTTGCATCCCACGCAATCCTGCAGCAGAGGAGATTGGGAGAAGGTCTCAGACTACTACCAAGGCCTCAATAATTACGTATGCTATTTTGATTTGGGGGCTCCTCATTATAATTATAGTGTAACGGGCCCCTGTCCTAGGTCCCTGAAAAGCTTATATACGATATCGACACAATCAAAAGGCCGAGCCCTGAACCCCTGGACCCTACCCACTCCTCCTCCTTGCTGTGAGTTAGTAGCATTTACCTAGCCTTCTTGATAGACTTTCAGGTGCTTTGGCACTGTGCGGAAGTACATGGGTCTGGGGCTTCTTGCACTTCACATGTGAGACCGAAGGGCCTTGGGTCTGTGGTTGTAAGTTACCGCTCAAGACTGAAGCACCTGTTGCACCTTAAGCAACAAGCCACAGACTGCTAAACTCGACCTAGAACTTCAAAGCCCCCGAGGCCGAAACCTCGAAAGTTGATACTCGCGACTGCCCCTTGCACTTAGGGTTTCAAGGTTTCCCTCAACCCTGAATTTGATATAACAGAAGCCCTAACCCCCAGACCCCCAAGCCCAAAAAGCTGAACCTGAAATGCCACCCACAAGTCTGAGGAGTCGCCTCCACTCGCGGGGAGGAAGCGACCTGCTTGGCGGCATTGATCGTCGCAGGGACCATCTCCTCTCAGAACTCAAGATGAATAGTATAGGCCCCTTAACTTATGAGACTAAACCCTAAACAGTTAGTATAGGACTGTATAGGCCCCTTAAATTATGAGACTAAACCGATACCCCTAAACGCTAAACCCTAAACAGTATAGGACTGTATAGGCCCCTTAAATTATGGGACTAAACCCTATACCCTAAGCCGCTAAACCCCAAAACCCTGAACCCCCTAAACAGTATAGGACTGTATAAGCCCTTAAATTATGAGACCAAACCCTAAACCCCTAAACCCCTAAACCCCTAAACCCTAAACTGTAGAGGACTGTATAGGCCCCTTAAATTATGAGATGGGTCTTGAGAAGAGGCCCTTGTCGGAGATATTGGGAACCCAGCCCCGGGTTCCAAGAAGGGTTTAGGGGTTTAGGGTTTAGGGGTTTAGGGTTTAGGGTTTAGGGTTTAGGGTTTAGGGGTGGCTTTGGGAAACTAGGGTTCACCTTCCATGGCTTAAGCTCCGAAGGAAGCTTCCGCATGGTCGGCCTAAGGATGCGGGGCTTTAGGATTTTTGGGTTTGGAAACTTAAGCCTTGGGCTTTGCCTCTAAACCCTAAACCAAAAAACTCCAAACCCTGTGGGTTTTTTTCTGGGCAACTTACAACTTCTGGCGGCCCAGCGGTCTTTCTTGAAAAATACATCTGACACTAAACTCGCCAAACCCTGCGCACCCTGCGGTTTGTAGGCTTCAGGTTTAGGCGCTGCAGGGTCCGACCCTGAAAGTACATCCCAAAGCACCGCAAAGCAGCTCCAGCACATCCGTGGGGCATGCGCGCACGCAGAGGGTGCAGCCGATGCAGGTGTCCTTGACGAGGCGGATAGAGGGCTTTGTCACAAGAACGGTTTAGGGTTTAGGGTTTAGGAAACCCTAAACCCTGAACCTGAACCTGTGAATTCAAAACAGTAGACCCCTACGGGCCTGCACCCTACAATCGACCCAAGCCAATGCAACAGCTGGAAAAAAAGGAAACCCTGTCTAGGTCCACAACCAGGTAATCTAGAGCTCCAGTCCGCAAGACTGGACGGTTTTGGGGGTTTGGGATTTTGGCCTTTTGGAATCAAAATAAAGTTGCTGGCTTCTGGCCAGCGTTTTTAGGGGTTCGGGAGGGAAGCTTGCGGCCAGGAAGCATAGATCTTGACGGCATGGGAACGCCTGCAAGCCAGCTTGCCACAGCCATCCCGAAGCGGTCTTCAATAAATTCAGAATCTTCTGATCCACTTTAGGAAATTCTCCCCACACCAGCATTATCAGCACTCGCATTGTGCACCACGCCCTGTCTGGATACCACCCAGATTCAGCTAACAAGCCCCAAGCAAGGGCTTCTGGGCTTTGGGCTTTCGGCTGCGGGTTTTGTGGTTTGCATCCTGGGGCATCTGACACCTGAACGTGGCATGCCAAACTCTTCACTCCGAAGACGACACACTGAACCCGGATAGCTTGAAGCGTGTAGATCCGTATCCCGGCAAAACGTAATGGCACTGTCCATGCCCTGAAGTTTGCTCGGGACTGAGGCTTTAGCGTTGAGCAGGGTGCGGGCAGCAAACTTTGCGTGCGGTGTAGAGTGTAGAATGGTCTTCGGGTTCTTTGGGCCCCGAACCCCTACGATCCGCAACATCCCATGCCTTATTCCAAGCCGCAGAACCCTGACCGACCCATAACCTAGAAGCCAAAGGCCGAAACGAGGGTGAGGGAAAAGTCGCGGAACCAAAGTCGGAAACAAGGAGGCACGAGTCGGGAAGCAAAGCGGCAGGAGTCGGGAACAAGGGGCGCAGCAGTCGGGAAGGTGAAGAGGCAGGAGTCGGGAAACATGCGGGGAAAAAAGGAACGCATGAGCGGCACCATGAGCATCCGGCACATGATTCGTACTACTACTACTACTACTACGACTACTACTACTACTACTACTACTACTACTGCTGCTACTACTACTACTACCACTGCAAATACTACTCATACTACTCATACTACTCATACTACATACACTGCTATACTACTCATCTACTCATAATACTACTAATACTACAAATACTACTAATACTTCTAATACTACTAACACTACAAATGCTAATGCTAACTATAACTAATACCAGTACCAATACGGATACTAATACTAATGTTATCACGACTAGAAACACAAACATTGATTCTAATATTAGTACTCATACTCATACGCATACTAAAGCTACTAATACTAGTACTAGAACTAATACGAATACAATACGAATACACATACAGATATCGATACCAATACCTAGTACTACTAATACTACTAATACTATTAGTACTAGTAATACTAGTAATACTAGTAATACTACTAATACTACTAATATTACTAATATTACCAATACTACTAATCCTACTAAATACTACTAACACTACTAATACTACTGATACTACTGATACTACTAATGCTACTAACATTACTAATACTACTAATACTACTAATACTACGAATACTACTAATACTACCAATACTACTAATACTAAAAACCCAACATTTTTGACATCGGACACTCAAAACTACCAGGGGCCAGGAGGCGCGGAACCCTACTAATACTAGTAATACCACTAATACCACTAATACCACTAATACCACTAATACTACTAATACTACTAATACTACTAATACTACTAATCCTACTAATGCTACTAATACAGCCAATACTACTAATACTACTAGTACTACTAATACTACGAAAACTACTAATGCCACAGGTACTACTAAATCTATTGATAATATAACATTAAAAATGCTACAAATACTACTACTACTACTACTACTACTACTACTACTACTACTACTACTACTACTACTACTACTACTACGACTACTACTACGACTACAAACACAAACACTGATTCTAATATTAGTATTCATACTCATACGCATACTAAAGCTACTAATACTAGTACTAGAACTAATACGAATACAATACGAATACACATACAAATACCGATACCAATACACAGACCGCAAGATGCAGATGTGGCATTGACACGATAATGCTATAAACCCCGAACCCTATAAGACCCATGGTACCCGACATGCTGGATTCCTGACTTTCGCCCCGGTTGTTTCCAGACTCTTGCCTCCTTGTTTCCTGACTGTTGCCTTCTTGTTTCCTGACCCATGGTTCCCGACAATCGCACATGGTTCCTGAATTAGTCTACTCCCGCCGAAACGATACCAAGGTGTCTGGATCCCTATCATTCTGCAGGCTTCGGGCATTCTGAGGTTGCTGACCTACTTGAGGCTTGGGGTGTGGGGGTCAGGATTCTAGCTAGGGCTACAGCACCAACGGTGAGTCGAAACAGAGGCCCGGCAACGATTGACCATCCTCCTCCACTCGATGGGCAGCTTGCGGTGTTGAAAGTGATTCGTACCACAGCTAATGCAGACCGCAGACACATGAAAGCCCTCACTTAGATGCTGGAGACAAAAAGGAGGGGATCCAACAATGTGGTCCTTGAAGACAGAGTGACTGCTACCGAGGGTCGACACTCCCGGCTCTGTTTTGCACACCTCCTGCACTGCCCTGCGGCTTGGGCCCACAAGAGTCACGCCCTTGTGCGAACCTTCGCTATGCCAACGGCCTACAGTTGAACCTTAAACCCTAAACCTTGAACCCCAAAACCCTGAACCCCTAGACCCTAAACCTTAAACCCTGAACCCCCAAACCCCTTACCCTAAACCCGAAAACCCCAAACCCTAAACCCCCAAACCCCTGAAGTGTAACTGGGATTTTCCGAAAGTAGGGGACCCTATTATAGTACCCTAAATAGTAGGATCCTTATTATATATAAGGATCGCACAATAAGGTACCCCTATTGTCGGAAACTCCCAACTCCTGTCAGAACATTACCCAAAATAAGGAATATACCATAATTCCCATAGTTTAGGATCCTGCAGCTAATGCAGGATTTAGGGTTTCAGCCGTATAACTCCTGTCAGAACAAGAAAGAAGCAAAGAAGCGGACCTGGCGGCTTTCGCGGCCCGAGCTGCCGCTGCAGCGCCGACGGCGCCCAGGGCGCCGAGCCTCTGAGGACTCTGGGAACCCAGGGGAGCTGGGAGTTTCCGACAATAGGGGTACCTTATTTTGGGATCCTTACAATAAGGATCCTACTATTTAGGGTACTATATTAGTTTAGTCGGGCTCTTGTTAAGGAGCTTGTATAAATTAAGTTCCGAGGCTTAAGGGTAGAGGGGTTAGGGTTCAGGGTTAAGGGGTTTAGGGGTTTAGCTGGGCTCTTTTTAAGGAACTTATAAAAATTAAGCTACGATAATGGGGATCTATGGTAAATGATATGGGTTTCCTTGTGTGCTAACTTGTCTGAGGACTCTGGGTTCAGGGTTTAAGGGTCCATGATAGAGGGGTTAGGGATGGTGACGGTAGAGGGGTTTAGGGGTTTAGCTGGGCTCTTTTTAAGGAACTCATAAAAATTAAGCTACGATAATAGGGATCTATGGTAAATGATATGGGTTTCCTTGTGTGCTAACTTGTCTGAGGACTCTGGGTTCAGGGTTTAAGGGTTCATGATAGAGGGGTTAGGGATGGTGACGGTAGAGGGGTTTAGGGGTTTAGCTGGGCTCTTTTTAAGGAACTCATAAAAATTAAGGGATGTATGGTAAATGATATGGGTTTCCTTGTGTGCTAACTTGTCTGAGGACTCTGGGTTCAGGGTTTAAGGGTTCATGATAGAGGGGTTAGGGATGGTGACGGTAGAGGGGTTTAGGGGTTTAGGGGTTTAGGGGTTAGGGTTTAGGTGTTTAGGGGTCTGGGCTGAGGAGGGGTTTAGGGGACATACGTAGTTAGTAAGGCTATAAGTATCCTAATTGGGGCTATAAACCATTACAAGTACAGTCCCACTCGGCTTCAAGGCTTAAGGGTGGAGGGGTTAGGGTTCAGGGTTTAGGGGATTAGGGATTCAGAGCTTTGGGTTTAGGGCTTTGGGTTTTGGGGTTGTAAGGGTTTAGCGGAGGCTTCAAACTGTAGAGCTCCGTCTGACAAAACTGGGAAGCCTGAAGCCCTACACCCCTGCAATGTGTGACCCCCAACCCTGACACAAATGTATGGTTTAGGGTTTATAGTTTATGGTTCGAGTTTAGGGGGGATGTATAGGGTCTAGCCTGTCAGCATCCTACCCACACCAAAGGCAAGCACGACTCAGTTAGGCTGGTCTTCAGGCTTTGTTCTTTGCGAACGTTTGGCCGCACCAAACTACACGAACAGTGCTGCGAATAATAAACCAAGCTCAGGAGTCAGGAGGACAACAGTAGAGCCATAACTTATAAAATTGACAACACAAGCACTGTTTAAAGCGTCAAGACGAGGGCAGCAAGGGTTTCATGCGCACAATGAGTAACAAGAGTAGTCACAGCAAATGACATTGATCAAAGATATAGCTAACAATGGGAAGGGATAAGAGGAAGAACCGCCAGAACAAAGTCATAGTCGGAATATTCATCGTGGAAGCAAAGAATGGAGAAACAACTAGGACAATGAGAATCCCAATCTATATATATATATATATATATAGAAAAAGGATCACTATGCCACGCATGCGCTTGTCCTCAACGGCTCAAAAATCACCCCAAAGCGTCCTAAAACCTGAACCAAACAAGCAATAAGGCCCAAACCCCAAAAAAACCCTAAACCCTAAACCCTAAGCCCTAAGCCCTAAGCCCTAAACCCTAAGCCCTAAACCCCAAACCCTAAGCCCTAAACCCTAAACCCTAAACCCTAAACCCCAAAGCCTGCAAGGCCCAAATCCAACTCGGAAAGCCTCAATCCAAGGCCCCTGCGCCAGGGTCAGGCCCGTGTTTCCGGCAAACATCGACTGCTCCGTTGGCATCTGGGACGCCTGGCTGGGTTGGGGTTTTGGGTTGTCAGCTTAGTAGTGTTTGATAGTTTGATAAAGCGCTACAAGTTTAAGTTTTGGGCTGTCAGGGGGTTCTGCCTTTAGGGTTGAGGGTTTCAGTGGCTCTTGCTTAAAGCATGTCGGGCTTAGGGCTTTTTAAGACTTAGCGTTTGGAGTGTCAGGCTTAGGGCTTTCAGGGGTCTGGCTTTCAAGGTGTTGGGCCTGAGGCTTAGGGTTCACGACTTTAGGGTTTCAGGGTTTTGGGGACGGGGCAATAGCTCTGATCTTTTTCAGGTTTCCAGAACACTGCAGGCCTGCTTTCGCTTGCTGTTTCATGTAAGTTGCTTCGCTGTGCTGTAGATCTGTTGGTACGCATGCAAGTGTGGATGAAGGACCCTTACAAGTAGGGGCCCTAGACCCTCGTACTATGAATCCCTACATGGTGTTTGAACTAAACTCTAAACCCCAAACCCCCTAAACCCTCAACCCTTCTAGGCTGCATTTCGTCCTGAAGGTAGGCTTGTGAATTCCAGGGCTCAGAGCACTAGCTTTCCAGGCTCCGGCTGTTGTGTTCAGTGCAGAGAGCTTCGGATCACATGAAACAGAGTGTACTACAATATAGCTTCACAAAGGTGAAGCAATGGAACATATTCCAATGCGATGTAACAGTTAATACCATATAACTGTACGTATAACAGTACACACTAGGATAGAACAGAATCTAATCTAGAACAATAAAACACTTATAAGGGTGCTTACTACGGTTGATGATATAAGTCCTGCATTACCTTAAGGACCTTAAACTATTGGAGTTATGGCATATTCTTTATTATGGGTAATGCAAGATTTATATCATCAACCGTAAGTCACCTGATCCTCCAAGCAGGGATCTGGGGTTTGGGGCTTTGGATTTGCGACTCTTCGAGATACGGGAGTTTCCGACAATAGGGGACCCCAATATGGTACCCTAAATAGTAGGACCTTTATTTATAAGGACCCCAAAATAAGGTACCCCTCATTTTCGGAGACTCCCATACGACTGGTGGAGGTTTTTGCTGCGCTGGCTTCGCTGAGTCGGGCCTTGATGCCCCGAACTTTAGGGTTTGGGGAAGCTTGGGAAACTTGAGGGTCTAGGGAAGTTTAGGGCGTGGGAAGTTTAAGGTTTTAGGAGGTGTAGGATTGCTCCCAACTTCTTCTGATCCCTAAAAGACCCTAGACCCTACTACCCCAAAACCCTCAGACCCCAAGACCCTGAGACCCGGTACCCTAAAAGCCCCGAGAACCTCAGACCGGAAAAAATTAGGGCCTAGACCCTAAGACCCTAAACGCCACCTCCCTACATGCCACCTCACCGGAAGCTTCAGCGGGGCCTCCCCAGCGACCATTCCCCGAGGCGCTGTTGCCCGCAGCGACGGCGCAGTGAAGGCCATGGCCCCAGCCAAGAAGAGGGCCACAGCGCCTTGCGTCCACTGAAATCATCATGGGACTTAGTATCTAATGCTATTTAATAAGGTAACTACACATCCTAAGTCCCATGATCCCTTTAAGTAGCCTTTCTGGGTGTGAGGTGGATTCTGTGTTTACGTACCCTAAACCCTAAACCTAGGGTTTAGGATCTTCACGACTGAGATTTTGGAGTGTAGGCATTGGGATCACCGCCATGCTGAAGGCTTCGAGTGTAGCTTCTCTATACTGAACTTAGAGCCCTAGCAAAAATTGTAATTTTAGCTGTTTCTTAGGGAGTAGAAGAACCAAACATTAAAAAATATTTCCAAGTACCCCTAAGTTCTCTCCATTTATGATCGGTTTAGGGTTTTTTCTTCGGGTTTAGGGTTTAGGATTTAATAGCAGTTGCCATCTATCCAACTGCTACAAGCACTGGGTTTAGGGCTTCAAGGTTTAGGGCTATTCAGTAGGGTCCGGCAATCACCGCTGTCGTCACTAGTAGGGTATTTTCCTCCTTGTATTGTTGTAGCTGCTATGTCTCCATCATCTCCAGGGGAGGAGAAGTCGGAGATCGTGCTTTAACCTATGACCCTTGCTATCGCATCTGCCAGTATCGTCATGTTTCGGCCACATATGGGGCGCCTATCCTCACCAGCATCCCGAATATTTCTTACGCCGGATGCACGATGTTGCACCACCTATCTAGCGCCAGCGTTGCGTCTGACGGCACACCCCCCTTCCCCCCAAACCTTAAACCCAACACTGGCACAGTGCCTGCCAACCGACCCTTAAGATTTTGCTCATTCGAGAACGAGTCGCTGCCGAAGGGCTGCCAGAACCACAGTCATTACAGTACGGGTTTAAGATTCAGGGGTTAGGATTTTTACAATATGCATGTTCAAAAGTGGCCACAGATATCGTCCACCCACAACACTCTTACAATTCAGTCAGAGTAGGGCTTCGGGTTTATTCGGCCTGAATTTTCGACTCAACGCAGCGCTAGTCTCTAAACCCCAAACCCTAACCTAAAAGCCCCCCAAACCCACCACTCTACATCCTACAATCCTAAAAACAGAACCCACCTGAAAAGACCCTGCACCGCGAGAAAACCTCGAATGCGCACAGGCCAAGCGACCCGCTGCGGAAGCTGCAATTTTCCTGCAGGATAGGCTTTGACCGTTTTAGGTTCATGGTTTGGAGTTGGAGCTTTGGCATTGAAGACTGTTGGGATTTGGGAGTTCCCGAAAATAGGCGACCCCAATATGGTACCCTAACGAGTAGGGTCCTGAAGAAAAAGGACCCCCAAATAAAGTACCCCGATTTTCGGAAACCCCCAATGTTGGGGTTTGGGTTTGGGGTTGAAGGGCTTGGAATTTGGGGTTCGGATGCCGAGCCCCCGAAACTTTGACGAACTCGAATCCGAATGAAACCTGAGGCAGCCCATTCCTGCCGTCATCAGCAAGATCAGAGCAGGTTCTTCCGAAAAGGATCCGAATATTTGGGAGTATCCGAAAATAATGGGTGCCTTATTTTGGGGTCCTTATAATAAGGATCCTTCTATTTAGGGTACTGTATTAGGGTCCCCTGTTTTCGGAAATTCCCATTCAGACTTAAGGTTACAGTCCGGCATGTCCGAAACCTTTGCAAGCGGTGCTGCTTAGTACTGTTGCTACGACGCTCTTGCTGCTAGTCCTAGTAGTATAAACACCACCACCACCACCACCACACCACCACCACCACCACCACCACCACCACCATTACCACCATGCTTGGCGTTGTGACAACTGGAGCAGTTCTTTGCATTTGGGCTCAGGTTGGCTTAGGGGTTTGCGGCTTCAGGGTGCAGGCTTCAGCGTTTAAGGTTCGGGTTTAGGTATATCTTTGAGGTTACATTTTTGAACACACCCGTTTCCACCTGCGAGTCAAGCTCGGCAGAACGGCTTTCAGGTTCAAGTTCAGGGTTAGTTTCTAGGGTATTGTAGGTCCTTGAGACCGAATATGTTTTCCCTATAACCCAAACCCCTAAAAACTCTAAACCCCAAACCCCAAGCCCCTAAAGCCCTAAACCCTAAACCCCTAAACCCCTGAACCCCTAACCCCTAAACCCTTAAACCCCTGAACCCCTAGACCCCTGAACCCCTAAACCCTAAGCTGCGCTCTGGATCCCAGACCTCTGGGCCATGGCTGGTGGCGATGGAGGGACGAAGGAAGGGAGTGGGGGATCCTGCTCTTGAGCCAGGGGAGGAACGGTGGATGATATGAATCCTGGGTTTCCTTTAAAGGGCTCTATAAGGGTACATTCTAAGGGTTCCTTTAAGGGATCTATAGGGTTTAGGCTTGATATACATCCTGCATTACCCATCATAAGGAATATACCATAATTCCCATAGATTAGGGTCCTTAAGGTCATGCAGGATTTATATCATCAACCGAAGGGAAAGAGATGAGCGGTCCAAGGGTTTAGGGTTTAGGGGGGTTTCAAGGGTTTTGGGTTTAAGGCTTAGGAGGGTTTAGGGGTTTAAGTGGTTTAGGGCTGAAGGCTTGGGGGGTTTAGGGTTTAGGGCTTAGGGGCTTCGGGGCTTCGGGGCTTTTGCGTTAAGGGTGCAGGGGTTTAGGGTTTAGAGGTTGGGATCGTGCTGCTGAGCGAAGAGTTGGGCCCCTAAAAAGCACATAGGCAAAACACATATAAATCCCCAGACGATGAAGCCCAATACGGTAGAGATATTCCTGTAAAATGCTTGTGTTTATGTCCTTCTTGGGTCCCTAGAAGAATAGGGTTTTAGGCTTTAGGGTTCAGGGTTTAGGGTCTCTAAACCCCAAACCCACTAAACCCTAAACCTCAAACCCCCTAAATTCTCAGGACTATGAAAAAAGTCAACCGATGGGCGACATTAGGTCCCCAAAAGTACAAACCATAGGTTCCCACAGCGTCCTCTTCTGAAATCCTTTCGAACCCGCTGCACTCCAGCCTTCTTCTTTGCCCCTGCTGGCTGCGGAAGGAGCGGGCCGGCATCGAAGCGCACCGCTGCCTCCTGGTCCTCCTCCTTGGGAGCCTGCCGGAACCGGCACCCACCATCGGCACGCAAGCACCAGGTCACAGGACTGTGCAAAAGGCGTGACCGAACGTGTAGGAGACCGCCCGAGCCTTGCGGGCGCGCTTCTTGCGGCAGCCTGCTGCTCCGGCGCTCGGGGCACGCGCTGTCGGCACGACCTGTCCGCAAGGATTGTATTAGTAGGTCTAGGCCCAAGCACAGCAGAAGCTCTTGCCTTACCCTGACCCCGACCAACGTCCTGCCTCCTGGCAACGAGGTGGCAAAGGACCCGCGCCGCAGAGGACCGGCGGGTGTGCCTGGCAGCACCGCCAACACGACAGAATCCTGGATGTTGTAGCTATCTTACACTGCTGCTGCTGGTCTTACTCCCTTCTAGTCGTCCTGCGCGCTCCCGGCGACCGATCCCGGAGCAGCTGGGCCGGCGATGACTTGAACCTGATGCACGAGTTACAACATGCACTCGAGAGCCGCTTGCGAGCAGACACGGGGTGAGCACCTCGTCAGCAACCATGTCGCTTGGCGCGCCAGCTGCGGCAGGCACTTCCTAATCAGAGAGGCGAGCTCGGCGTGGGTGAGATAGATGGCTGCAGCGAACCTTGCAACCGGCCTCACGCGGAAGGTGGCGACGCAGCCTGCGCAGCTGACGGCCGTTGCTGAGGATCTCTCCCTGCACGCACTGTCAGATGCACGGCCCCGGTGCCCAGACATGAGCTTCGGGGCGAGCGACACGCCTCTCTCGTACCGGACTCGGACTAGTCTGCTTCTGCATGCAAGCAGCCTGGAGGGCCATGACGACGGTCGCAAAGGAGAAGAAAGGAGTCGCGGAAGCGGCGGGCGGAGGAGGCTGAGGGGCCAGAGAAGCTGCAGACGCAAGAGTACAGCCTCAGAAGCCAGCAAAAAAGACAGGCGCGGCAGAACCTGTGCCGCTGCGGCTAAACATGTCCCTGGCGCACGCAGGCTAGCTCTTTGCTCCTTTTTTCCTTGTCTAGTCCTCTGCGACGCAGTGCCAAGGTGCCCTGGGAGAACCTGGGGACGATGCGCTAGATCTGCTGCTGCAAAAACGCTTCCAAGACAGCACTGCCTGGAAAGACATGTATGTACCCTATGTATGCAAGCACGTCTGCCAGGCATCCCGGTCTCGATCATGGAGGTGTCCACCGCAAGCCTCAGCGCCAGCTCGGCGTCCTTAGTTGCCCCGACCAAGATCTGCAGCCAGGCAAACCCGATAAACAGGAGCGCAAGAAAGAGAGAGAGCGAGAGAGAGCAAGAGAGACAGGCAGAGCCTCTGTTAGAAGAAGAAATGAAGTTAAACAGTTAAACCCACCCACCCCACACCCACAGCTGCGTGGCAGCTATAGAAGACGCCCAGGAGCCAGAGAATGCTCGGAGGACATCTTACCTCGGTTCTGCACGGCCGAAGGCAAAGGTTCACGATGTCAGGTGTTAGCTAAACGTGCATTGCAGCGGTTCCAACACGCCTGGCGCTCCCTTCCAGAAAGCTGGTGCTAGTCGGTCCGCTGATGGACGCCCACAGAGGCCTCCAAGTCGCAACTTCCTGCCTGAGCCAGGCTGGGAATTGGAGTCACTGGATGCACTAACGTGAAACAAGGATAGCCTGGCTAAGCGTACGCGACAACAACTGATCGAAACCTGGAACCTTCGAATCTGAAGCTCTTGCTAGCCAAGCTGCTACGCTCTGCTCCTCGTGCTGTCGCCTTAGGTCAGAACGGCCAGAAGACAAGAGAACCAGACAGAGGCTTAAGTAGAAGTAGAGGTGCGAGGAACGTCGCTTGCAAGCCATGCAAGCTTTCGGACGGAACATGTGAAGCCGAGTAGCTGCACCTCCGCGGCTATTGCCTGCCAAGTTGCCGTTGGGCTTGTCGAGCTGTCCCCATACCTGAGCGCTGCCAAAGAAGACAGCTGGGTGCAAAAGGCTGAAGCTGGAGCAGCTGGACCTCCGCGGCTATTGCCTGCCAAGTTGCCGTTGGACTTGGCGAGCTGTCCCCATACCTGAGCGCTGCCAAAGAAGACAGGTGGGTGCAGAAGGCTGAAGCTGGGTTGAGGCCTACGAAGAGAAAATAAAGGCTAGCAGAGTCGGGTCTAGGAAACTAATCAGGTCTTGCGCAAGGGCTCAAAGCCTCGGCGGCTCTTGCCTGCCACGTTGCTGTAAAGGTAGCCGTCATTTGTCCGTACCTGAGCAGAGGCAAAAGTCTGGATGGAGGATTCGGTCCGGGGTGCCTTTTAATCTGGCCGGGGGGGGGCGGCGATTAAATTTAACCGATTGCGGGCTGCGAAATTTAATTGATCTCGGCGGCGGCGGCGCGGTTAAATTCAATCGGTTGTCGCGGGCGGTTTAATCCGGGCCCGGGGCGGTTAAAATTCGAGCGGGTTTATTCGGTCCGAAGTGCCTTTTAATCTGGCCGGGGGGCGGCGATTAAATTTAACCGGTTTGCGTTTGGGCGAGGATTTTAGCCGGCGCCGGGGGGGGCAGTTAAAGTGTAACGGATTTTCATCCAGGGAGCTTTTTAATTTGGCCGAGGGCGGGCGATTAAATTTAACCGATTTCCGGCTCGCGCGTGTTCTAGGCGGTCTGCGTATTTGGCGCATAATTTCACTGCTTTCCAGGATTCCCAGTAGTGGTTTCCAAAATTGTCATAGATTCAAGTCTCTTGAGAGTCATGGATTCCGGGAAAAGAAAACATTTTTACCGCAATTTTTCATGTGCCTTGCAGAAATTCACAGAAGTTTCCAGAACAAAAAATGGTTTCAGGAGGTTGCGCAGTAACTGCGATTTTACAACACGCTCTGAATTGTGAGTACGTTTGGGCAGACTTTCATGCGGAAACCAACGGACCCTATCCGGCATCTAACGGATTTCGTGAACCACCAGTTTTATCATGGCAGTGGCTTACGAAGCGTGCTAGGTCAATTCACAACTTCGTTACAAGGACTTATGTGACTGCCTTATGCTACATACAGATTATATGAGGCAACAAATGTATTGACGCTTTATAACTATAGATCTAGACTGGAAGGATACTAGCTAAGGGGTAAGATTACGTGATGTAAACAAGAACAAGGATTACAGGAAAAAGGGACCCCTAGATGTCGAAGTCTACGTTCGAACAGGTCCGTGCCCCTCTTGGAATGGTTTCCTTGAGAGGAGCTCACATAGCTGCAGCCCAGTCTCGCTGAGAATGCAGCTCTCGATGCCTTCGCTCAGACGCATCCCCGAAGGTCAAGATCGGAAAGAGCACCTGAGATAGACATCGGCAGTGACTTGAACTGACCAAGACACTGCCAGAGGACGCACACAACCGTACGCACCCAAGCCAATAGGACAGGGATGAATAAGGCTGAGTTGCATGCTCCAAGCGCTTAAGCCGAAGGCTAGCCACACGCAACGGGAACAGAGACATACGACTCCAGATCACCCAGGGCGTTTCTGCTACCTATACACAGCTCCCAGCAGTTACCACGGGCATCCGTGCGGCAAACCCATGACCAGAATGGCGCACCACCCCACTCCGGACATAAGTAAAGGAGCACTTTCTGTGTCTTAGCAGTAGCTTCAAATCCCTGGACGAAGAACGACACGCGACAGAGCGGAGAATTGCAGCAAGAAGATCACTTCCTCTCCTGTGCAGGACAAGAGGCTGGTGCTGGAAACACTCACGTGGGAAATGCCCCCTAGAAACCACCAGGGATCTCCTCGCTTTCGCCAACGGCTTAAGCGCTTGAAGGCTTGAAGAAGATTGCAACGATCCTGCAACATGTCCGCCAAACGGATCAGAGATTGCGGCACTCAAGGGAATCGGACAGCGCAGATGTCGTCTTACAGTCCGACCATGGATCCACTGACCAGAGGCGCTTGGATAGAGCACTTCCATCTGGCATGAGGCCACGTTGCTCTGTAGGCACCGTTGGGGACAATCAGCAGGAATCAGGTGTTGCAGCCCTTGTCAGGCTTCAGTCATCCTTCATCGCCTTTTTGTCCGGCTCAGGATAAGTGCTCAAACCGCTCTGTCATATGTCCTGAAGTGAATGATTCTGTTCCTGTGGCCAAGAATGCACAGGTGTCAGGTTGTGAGCAGGCTCAGCCCACACGCGACTGTCGCTCCAGCAGCTA